TTCTGCAGACAGCAGAGATCAAGGGGCAGGTAAGAAGAGGGCAAGTACACAATCTCCCTTGTAGAGTCAAAGAAGGAAGCAGAGGGGGCCATGTTCTTAGTGCAAAGCCCAGAATTAGTAAAGATTCCATTATACACATGTACCCATTACCCCACTAACACTCATCATGAATCTACAGCACGATGCAGCAGAACCAGCAGGGAGCGTGTAGACAATGCACCCTACAGCGACATTCCAGCTTTCTAGCTTTAGCACTGTATTTCTAGCTAGTTGTTTTTCAAGCTTTAAACAAGCTGCACAGTTCTTCCGAGTACACTAGGACTCACATTGAGGCATTCCCAGCTTTTGTTAAAAACTAAAGTGGAGGTGGGTGGTACTGACCAAAAGTTTGTTCAAGAGCATCTCAAAAATGAATCGTGGGTAACCATGACTGTCCTCTGGGAAATATAGCCATGGCGCACAGATGAAAGCTTTGAGGTATCAGGTATTTCCCACCTAAATCTCCTTCCTTCTCAATCATGCTAGTAGCAGTTAAAAACACCTATTCAAATTAATGTTCATTTTCACCACTTGATAAAATGCCAAGGCCCAAGAACATGTAGAATCTACGTGAACTTAGAAGGCAGAGAACAACTTGTGAACTCCTTCCATCATGTGGGTCCCAGAGATCAAACTCAGTTGTCAGGTTTGGTGGCAAGAGCCTTTACATCTGAACCATCTCACTAGCCCTGGATGATCATTTCTACTCATGCCCTGTGGTTGTCCTGAGCAGCGATGGGAAAATACAAAATAGCCTTGAAACATGTTAAGGCAAGTTAGATATGTTGTTACTACTATTACCCCCATTTCACAGATGAGAACTTTGAAGTAACCTGCTAAGCCACAGTTTCTAAGTAGCAGATCCAAGTTAGGCTAGGGTTATCTGGCTCAAGAGTTTGTACTTTCAAACAAGTCCCTAAAAAGTGAAAGAGAATATTCTTTGCTCAATAAAAGCCTGCTGTCAAGCATTCTTGACGCAAAACTGTCACTGTTCCAACTCCCCTGCAGCATTACCGGCAAATTACATTCCTGTACACATCCATTTACTTAACATACATCAGGATGGCATTCTTCACTTCCAAATACCTCAGTTCATTTTTCCTGAGAGGAAAAAACTATACTTCTAGGCTGGGCATGGTGCCACATGCCTTTAATTCCAACACTCAGGAGGCAGAGGCAGGTGGATTTCTGAGTTCAAAGTCAGCCTGGTCTATATAATGAGACCCTGTCTCAAAAACTAACACATATACACACAAAAAAACTATGCAACTGATGGGACCAGAGGGATGGCTCAGCCATTACAAGCACTGGCTGCTCTTCCTGAGGACCCCAGTTCCCAGCACCCATGTCTGGTAGTGCACAACAGCCTGTTAACTCCAGTTCCAGGGGATTCAACACCCTCTTTTGATCTCCACAGGAAGCTGCACATATGTGGCATATGAACACACATACATACACACACACATATATATAAAATACATTAAAATTTGTTAAAATATTTATATGTATGCGTGTATTGCCTGCATGTAGGGTAAGTGCACCTGTGTTGTGCAATGCCTGCGGAGGTCAGAAGAGGTTGTCAGATCTCCTGGAACTGGAGTTAAGGACAGTTGTTAGCTGCCAGGTGGGTGCTGGGATTCGAACTCAGGTCTTCTACAAGAACAGGCAGTGTTCTTAACCATTGAGCTATCTCTCAACCCCATTAAAAAAATTTTTAAGCCAGGTATGGTAGTGTATGCCTTTAATGCCAGCACTTAGGAAGCAGAGGCAGGTAGAGCTCTGTGAGATCGAGGCCAGCCTGGTCTACATAGTGAGTTCCAGGCCAGCTGGGGCTATAAGGAAACCCTGTCTCAAAAAGAACAACAACATCAACAAAAATTAAACAGAACAATTAAAATAAGTTTGAGAATGTTAAATTTATCTTAGGTGTGGTGATGCCTACCTGTAATCTCAGTACTAGGAAGAGGCAGGGGGAATCTTTGTGAGTTCAAGACCAGCCTGCTTCTGGGCTAGCCAGGGCTACAGTGAGACCCTGCTTCAAAAAACAAAACAAAGAAAAAGATAGTACATTTTAGGCCGGGCATGGTAACACATGCCTATAATCCTAGTACTCAAGTGGCTGAGGCAGGAGGATCACTACAAATTCAAGGTCAGCACTTCCCATACTCATTCCTTCATCCAGCCAAGAGTGAGCTAAGTGACCAGAACTTACTGTGTAGACCAGGCTGGCCTCAGAGATCCACCTGCTTCTGCCTTTCAAGTGCTGGGGATTAAAGCCCAGTGCACTAGTTTTTACACTGTATTTTAAAATTGTGCTTAACATAACCCAAACTTTGCCGTCCTTATTGGGGGTTTTTTGTTGTTTTTTTGTTTGTATAGAGACAGGGTTTTGCCAGAGTCCTGGTGAAGGAATGGGAACAGAAAGTGCACACAAAGCATATACACACAAGAAGAGCCTTTTAAGCCAGAACCAAGTCCAAGTAGTGAGTTAATGCAGCTTAGCTATCTACTTTCTCCTGGCAGCAAAGGAGTAACACCATCCAACTGAATTCCAGACATATCAACATGCCACCAGTCCAGCACAAAACACTCACAACTTAAATGAGAAAATCTAATTTTAAATCTATATTACAAATTTCTTATTTCCAATTCTCAGTTCAGTTATTCAAAATAAAGGAAAACTGGCCACTACTTTGAATGTTTAAATGTGTATGTTTTTTTCAACATAACCAATTTTAGAAAGGCATAGCTTTTTTTTTTTTTTTTTTTTTGGTCTTTTTGAGACAGGGTCTCTCTGTGGCCCCAGCAGCTGGCCTGGAACTATGTAGACCAGGCTGGCCTTGAACTCAGAGACCCACCTACCTCTGCCTCCCAAGTGCTGGGATTAAAGGCATGCACCACCAAACCCAGCAGCCTATGTTGTTTGCCTGCAATGTCTTCATACCTAAACTGTCTACTCCACTTACTAATCTACACTCACCATCTCTAGCGTTTTTATTCCCAGCCACACGTGCTGGCACATGCCTACAATCTCAGCACTCAGGAAGCTGAGGGAAGAAGACTGCTGGGGAGTCCAAGGTCAGCCTGGGCTGCATCATGGGTTTCAGGACATCCTGGACTATGTGGGGAGACCCTGTCTCAAAATTATATATATCACTCCCATCTAAACCACTTAGGGAACTAGGGATGTAGCTCTCTTTACATAAGTGTTTGCTTAGCATGCAATAGGCCTTGGGTTCGATCCCCAGCACCACATAAACTGGCTATAGTGGTGAGCATCCATAATCCCCGCATGGGCAGGAGGAGCAGAAACTCAAGGTCATCCTCAGCTCCACAGTGGAGTTGGAAGGCCAGACTGGGGTAGAGGAGATTCTGTCTCAAAAAACAATGCTCAGGGAAATCATCAAGCCACAGGCTTTAGATTAGTGAACTTAATTCCCCAGCTACCTCACTGGACTCTCATAGCTCTCCCATTCCACATTCATACATGATAATTGATGTCTCTTGTAAAAGCAAAAAAAGGAAATAGTCTAATGCTTTAAATTTCTAAAGATATTAGTTTTTACAGCTTTTTTCACTTGGTTTCTACCCTTGATCATTCTGTATTTCAGCCGCTTTTCTTAAACCATGCATTTTGTCACAAAAAAGGTCTAGTTATCTCCATACAAAAAGTACCTTTTAGCCGGGTGTGGTGGCGCACGCCTGTAGTCCCAGCACTTGGGAGGCAGAGGCAGGCGGATCTCTGTGAGTTCAAAGCCAGCCTGGTCTACATGAGTTCCAGGACAGCTGGGGCTACAGGGAGACCCTGTCTCAAAAAGCCAAAAAAAAAAGTACCTTTTATTATCTCAAAAGAAAAATATGTAAGTGGCTATGATTCCTCAATTCATCTCTATCCCTACCTACAGTAGATACTGGGCAGCCATCTAGTAAAGAAATTTCTGAGTACAACAGTTTCTGCTTTATTTTTCAGACAGAATTCATTGTGGTCTAGGTTGCCCTCAAACTCACAATCTGCCTGTTTCCATCTCCCAAATGCTAAGATTACAAGCATGTGCCACCACTCCTGGCTGAATGTTACTTATCATACACCACAATCAGATTTTCTTTTCCCCTATAGCTTCTGAAATAACCTCAATTTGGTTCATGCCATAAAAGCACATTTACCAATGCACTGGTCTGTATCAGCAGCATCCACTTTCAAAACCACTACTATAAAACTAGCCCATGTCCTTACACAAAGCCTTAAAATTCAATTTTAGGGGACTCTTGCTTAAATATCAATTTTTCAAAAACATCTAGATTAAAAAAAAAAAGTTCTTTAATCTAAAAGATAATCAGAAAATCTTTGCAGACACTTCCCTTATAAGCTCTCCACCACACTGTAAACCTCTTTCAACCTGTCATAATCAGATTGTTTAAATATAGTTTCTGTTTGCAGGAAAGAATATGCTCAGGCAAAACATCTTTCTTTTAATAGTGTGTTTATTTAAATCAAAAAGCATTGACTGAGTTCCCCAGAAGAAATTCTACTTGCATTCTCAGAAATCAGTAATGAATCAGATACCCAGCTTAAGGAAGCTGACTTCCAATTTACATTAATACTTCCATAGTAATTAATAAATTTCAAATTAGATGTCTAAACCCAGAAAAAAATCCTTTTACACTTCAAGCTTCTATAGGTATCAAAAGCGAAATTGTATCAAATTTAAAAGACAAAAAGTTTAGAAGCAACTTAAAAAAAACATATCACCTTGCCTCCATGGGCAGGACATACTTTCAATAACTGTGCAAAGCTGAAACTGATAGATCTCTGGGAGTTCAAGGCCAGCCTGATTTATATAGCTAGACCCTGTCTCAAAAGAAAGAGCCGGACATGGTGGATCTGTTGTGAGTTCAAGACCAGCCTGGTCTACATAGCAAATTCCAGGCCATCTGGGGCCACAGGGAGACCCTGTCTCAAAAATACCAAAAAAAGAAAAAAAAAAAAGAAAGAAAGAAAGAACTCAAAGCATAGGGCCAGATGGACCATACAGAAAAAACAGGAAGTTACTAGCCCCAAAAGCAAAGATACCTGAGGCAGAAGACCAAACAGAGCAGACCCATTTCGACTACCTAAATGTACTTTGATTTAAAAAAAAAAAAAAAAGATGAAATATCAAGGCTAGAAATGAAAAATCAGAAACATTTATGAGAAACTGGTAGGAATATCAAACCTAGAAGTATATCAGACTTCAAAAGCCTCCCTTTAAAAGAACATACTTCTTGATATCTGAATTTTATCCTCAGATATTTCTTGGCAGGGCATACTAGTAGTAAACTAAGCTTGAGTCTCACCTTTTCTAATGATTATTACAAAGAATAATTTTCTACCATATTGAAATTTTTCAAAGCTTTTTGAGAAACACACACAAATATTTTGGATTTAGTTGATTTTATTTACAGCTTTTTTGGGTTTTTTTTTTCTTTTTTTTACATTTCAATGCATTACACAATTACATTTTCTCATTTTCTGACCTGCAAACAGATACCTTAAATGAAAATTCTTAAAAATTATCAAATTAGGTACATCCAAAATTCAACAATTACACATGACATTTAATTCACAAAGTGTAATTTACTAGGACGTATCCTAAGAATTTAGCAAGAGCCAGTCAGGAGAAGTCTGACCAAATGTAGCACTCAACTAGCTATTTTCCCCAAATAAAACCTATCTAAACTCCCCAGCAGAAGTTTGAAAGTCTCTTATATCCCCACTGGACAAGAGAGTGATGACTCAGACCTGTCCAGTCTTGACAGTTTTAATCCCAAATACTGTAACTAAACAAGCAGTAAGCATCAGTTTTTCAAACGCCCAATTATCAAAATTGTACACCTTTATGTGCATAGAAAGTCTAAGTGTTCACTAATTATAAAAACAAGTAGTCATTAAATATCTACTGTTCCCCCAGCTCACCAGCCCTTACTAAAAACCAAAATATGCAACCTGTGTCACATAGTGACAGGCAATAGTTTTGTGTATGTAATATATATGTGTGTGTGTGTGTATATATATATATACACACACATACATACATATATATACACACACACACACAATAGGTAATAGTACAAATGGCAATTAACAGTCCCTGCAAACATTCAGTTTCAGTTGAAGGTATGGCTTCTATGCCTTGAGATGGTTTAGATTTCAAAAACTGGAAAATACTACGAAAATCTCACTTCCTTAAGACCAAATTTGATCGCATGTTCAGTTCTAAACTTCTTAATCTAAAAATGGCTATACAGTAAGTATAAAAAGCCAACTGAGTGCTATTTCTCTCTCCAGTTTGGCCAAGCTATTTTGTAGAAATCTATCCTAACAAGACTGGTAATGGTGGCTTCCAATGGTTCTTGCCTACCTTACTGTTCATGTTTCAAACTGTGTCAACAGAGCCCGCACTTCAGGGGTCAGCTGCTTAGCAGCCTTAGCTGCCTCCGTTATAGCCTTGCGATACAAGCCCTTTCTCTTCTTATTAAAGCGTAACTGGAAGTTTTCTAGAAAGGGGGCGAGTTGCGAAAGAGCAAGGAAAGATGTTGTTGGAGACCCAAACCATGAAATACGGGCCTCCTGTCGGGCTAAAAGGCCGTTATCTTTCCGACTCACAGTTATGGTTAGAATACGGGCTGGCCACCAAGGGAAGCCATATATCTTCGCCCAAACAATGTCCCCTACACATATGGTCCTGCCATCTGGTGTGATGCACTTAGAGACGTTTTTGGAAAAGATTTCCATTTTCAAGGAATTACTGAGCCTTGTCTCTTCCTTTGAGGAGGAGGAAGCCGAGGAGGCGGAAGGTGCATGCATACTGCCTGGAGGAAAAGCAAAGCTTTCAGAAGAGCTACACTCAGAGCTGGAAGATTTCAGACCATCCCTGCTATCACCGCTACACACGGAAGCACTGGAGGAGTCAGGTTTCTTTTGATTTAGGGTCAGGTACACAGAGAGATCGCTTTTGCTGCCCCTTTTGCCCAATGTCTGTGGTTCATCCTGCTCACCAGGCACATGCACTTCGCTTGTGTCCTGAACCTCACTGGTGGCCTCTCCTGGGCCTGAGGGACTCTGATTTTCTGAAGGGGCCTCACCTGCTGAGCGGGTGGAGGTGCAGCGAGACTGCGGTTTGGATGCCAGCTTGCCACTCCGAATTTTCTCGAGTCCTGTCTTCAGAGAAGAGTCGTTCTCTTCATTCCTGTACCTCTGTGGTTTTAATCGAACCCGGGGTGGGAGGGAACCTGAGCTAGGATTCTGATACCGACGTGTGAAGTGGACTTTTGAGTGTGCATTTTTAGAAGTGGAAGTTTCACTTTGCTTCTTCTGCGCCTTCTCTTTGGCAATCTTCAGTACTTCCCGAGCTTTCGCATGATCCATGTTCTTGCTCTGCAGCACCTTCTTAGTGCTCAACTGAGCTTTTGATGTATTTGCCTGAGCAGCAACTTTGACTACTCTGCCTCTGCTGTGAGCAATACTGGAAACCCGAACCACCGCACTTCTTCTCTGGCTTTCATTTTGGTTTTTACCATCCACTTTATGGTCAGTTTTCAGCTTTTTGTTCACAGTAGCTACACTTTCATTTCTCCGTCTTTTATCTTCATACCTAGAAGAGTCACTTGCACTACTGCCTTTTCTAATTTCCTTTTTTTCTGCAACAACACTGTTTTTACACTTATCACACAGGACTTGCCTGGGCCGTAGTTTAATAGCATTCATTATTGAAGTGGGTTCTTCCCTGTACATTTTTCGTTTGGGTCGCTTAATTTTCCGAGGAGGCGGCTGAGGTATTGATTGGTTATATGTGTCCCTGATAAACAACGGGGGAGGATAAGGTGCTCCTTCATGGAAGAGAGGAGGTGGTTTGGAAGTCCACAGGCTTTCAGCTAAGCTCAACTCAGGAGGCAGGACTGGAGAAGGGTCATGGGGAACAGCACCATTCACTTCCCGCTTGACTTCTATCCCTTCTTGGAATGTGTTACTTTGGAGCTGCATGGCTTCCGGTTTATCCTTATATTCCCTTTTGGGAAATACTGTCACAGGGATCCCATGGGGCCCAAACCTTCGAAAGAAATGGAAGAAAAAAAGGAAGCCGGTAAGTTGGTATCTGTAATTCAATGTCTTCGATGTAAACAACACTTCGTGTTTATTTCTATGACCTTTCCTGAAAACTATTTCATAATAAAATGAATGAGAAAACACCAAAAAAATCTAGTGTTTTTCCCCCATAATACCAAAAACTCATTTCTTTTGGTTCTACATTTTAGAGAAAAGAAAACCAGATATAATTCAAATGGTTACCCTAAGCAATACCAGAATAACTGATTTACTTAAAATATTCCTTCTGGTATTAAATCAAAAGGTTTTCTAGTAGACAGCTTACATTCGCTGAACTATGCACATCTATGGTAAATGCAACCATACGTAATCAGCTCCCAAAGGCTTAACAAAATGGCAGGACTGTGGTGCAAGCCTGTAACCCCAGTACTTAAGAGGCTAAGGCAGGAGGATCACAAGTTCAAGGCCAGCCTGAGTAACACAGAACTCAGGTACTCAAATTACTCTGAGAGCTTACAGGTACACAGCTGTGGATTTAAACTTTTTAAAATCATGTACTAAAATAAGAAATAAGTTTAGCCTTTAATCCTAACACTCAGAAGGCAGAAGCAGGCCTTCTGAGTGTTCATCAAGGCCAGCCTGGGGTCTACATAGGGAGTTTGGTGCTACCAGGAGACCTTGTCTCAAAATAACAACAACAACAAAAAGAAGTAATTGCAGCTGGGCAGGGTAGCAAATATTTGTAATCCTAGTACTAAGGCGGGGGGGAGGGATAGAGGATGCTGAGTTCAAAGCCAGTCAAGAAAGAACAGCAAGATCCCGTGTCTCAAAAAAAGAAAAACAAAGGACAAGGAAAAATAAAAAAAGAAAAGCAGTATTTTCAAATTATAATTCAATTAAAAAAAAAAAAAAAAAAAAAAAAAGAATTCAGCTCTCTTAAGCCAAAACTCTTCTCTTATGGTAGCCCTGAACTCCAGTTCCTGC